GAGTAAGGCAGCTGTGAAGTGTTGATTTTTCATTCTCCTGTGGGCTAACAAAGGGATCGTAGCACATAAGCACAAATACATGTTAGTTATGAAAACACCGACATTTAACTGAAGTCAACACAAGCATCTACAGCTAACACTAGGTAACTGTAAGAAAAGAATAAATAAATCATACCTTTGAAGAGTTTGTACTTTAATCTGTTGTAGCCTCACTTGTTAGTTAGCACAATTACACAAACTATGATTTGTTGGGGAAAAGGTCGGAGAATGAACAGTCGGGCACTTGTTTCTTTAAGTTTAAGTACCAAAAAATTATTTGAAAACATGGATTTTATGGACATCAGTCTCATGTTCATTTATAACCATGGATGTGAAACTTGGGCCAAAAGTACATTTTCTTCATGTTCTGTATGAAAGCAATCTGAAATACAATCAGACATGTTACACCATTGTGCCAGTTCCACTGTGAACCACACAGCCAAACATACAACAGACACACCACCATGTCTGACAGATTGAGTGGTGTTTCAGGTCATACGCTGATCCTTTTTCTCCACCCTTTCCATCATTTAGATTTTTATTTCCTAAGTTTATAGAACTGCATTCCAGACCTCTACCTGTTTCTTATTGTATGTTTTTGTCAGCTGCAACCTGCCAAAGACACGACTTTGGAAAACCCTCTCAATCGTAAACTTATATTTTACACTTTAATATTATATTCAGTAATTTGTTTAAAAATGATTGTGCTGCCATCATGAAAGTTTACAGGAGAGACAAGCCGAATCTGTTCAAATACTTCTGGACTGCATGTCATTAGATAGATATATGTACAATGAGACTCTCTGTTGCCCTGAGGTAGCAATATGTTGTAGAGGGCTAAGAACAGTGGCGTTTTTGTTCACAAGATTAGACTCCACACACAAAGACTGGTATTCTTTGATGCCAGTTCATTTTTCCCAGCGCCCTCACTGACAATGATGGTTATTAAACAGCACAGGGCCTCAGCTAGTGAGGTATAGATCACATCATCTGTCCCTTTGTTGCTATAGTTAATGAAAAAAGAAAACAGACAAACTAAGACCACAGCCATGGGGTCACCCATCTTTTCCCCTGTTACCAGTACATGAAACAATCTGCTGAACACATTTCTATGGCACCAATGTTCCCACTACTCTGGTACCAGTGTGTGGATGACAGTGCAGTGGTGTGGTACCAGCAGCTCCATCCTACACATCAGTCACATGAAGACACACATCAGCTGGTCAGGAAGGTACACTGCTGTTCAGTGGACAGGACAGAACAGAGACTTTAGATTCTGACATTAGAAATAAAATTTGACATTTAAAACAAAACCAGAACTGAATAAGGGAAGCATTGGTGGAATAAAGCTTGTCAGGAAAACAAAAAAAAAGCTGCCTTGGCACTGAAAGGTTTTACTGAAAAATGAAACAAAAGGAATAAATAAAAAGTTTCACCACATGCATCATCTGCTGAGTTTTGACCATGTGCTAAGTCTTCTCTCATTTTATTTTTTACATTTGCTGAATTCTGATGTGTTTTTAATTACATCTTTCTGAGTGTTTCTTCATCACTTACAGTTCTCATCACATTCCCTGACCTGCCATTCACTCTAAAGCACAGCCACACAGTACTGTCTGTTTCTCTACTGTTGAGTTTGTGCATTACAGTGGGCTGGGTTGAAGTGAACTCTTATAGCTAGATATACTGGTTGGCCAAAGTTTAGCCAGTACAGGTTATGTCTTCAGTGTTGAAATCTTATGTCAATACAAATATACAACATAAAACACACAGTGCAACATCTTATCAGTGAGGATAATGAGTTAAGTCAATCATCATTTTTTAAACTACCCTTAACATGTGACCACCTGTTTTAATTTGAAAGCTGCATGCATCGGTGTTTAACTTACAGCATTTTTAAAAAAAAAAAGAAAAACCCCAAAACATCGATTTTCTTTGGAACCACAGCGATTCAGTTTGCTACCACACTGATCATAAATGAGCACAAATATGCAGTCAGTATATGCTTGTGAAACACTAAGACCATACTGAAAGCCTGGCTGTTGAAAAACAGCCAGTCTGATGCCACTGAGGTGTTCCGTAGCCACAAAGTGATCCAATCTCTTCCAGTGAAGGTTCTGAGGGGTTTTCCTGTTTCCACTGACTTGGGCAAGCATCAGTAAAGAAATGGATTCCTGCTTCTTTGGCTTTGTTTTGTTCTGTAAGTGGGCAGCATAAATCACATTTTCCATTTTAAAGGATATTCACAGTGGAGCTTCTTTCCTTCGGTCTGGAGAAGTTGTGAACACAGGTGTACCTACTGGTTTTTTACCAGCATCCAGACTCTGCTCATAAAGAATAAAACCCATTTTCTCAACTGAAATACATGAAAGATGGCGTCCAACACAAAGTGAAACGTTCCTGATTTCTAGTTGGAAAATAGTGATTTCATTTACTAGAATGCACCAATAAGAATTTACCAACAGTTGATGTAAAGAACAGTTTTGATGCAGGTGGCTTTAAAATGACCCTTGTCTCTGTCACACAGATCCAAATGATTCTATGCTAAGAATGAGGACAAATGTTGAAGTTGTACAGCAGGGGTGTCAAACTCTGGCCCGTGGGCCAAATTTGGCCCGCTTTGTAATTACATTTGGCCCGCGAGACAATACCAAATGACTACTAGAGCTGCCCCCGGTATTATACTGTACAGCGCATTCACCGCTAATATTACAAATCCCATAATGCCCTGTTGTTGTTTTGGCACGTCAATCAGGACAGGACCAAGAAACTCCCTCTCCTCTGTGACAGTAGGCATAGCGACTTCACATTACAAATGTCACTGTGCCATTGATGTGTTTTTTTATTTATAATTTGATTTTGCATGTCTCCACTATTAAGTTATATATAATGTATGGTAATAAGCGTTGCTTGTTCCATATTCAATGTTAAAGCAAAATTTGTTTCGGTCCATATTAAAAGGTTTATTTGTTCACTGTTGGCCCGCGACTTTGTTCAGGTTTTAAATTTTGGCCCACTGTGTTTTTGAGATTGACACCCCTGTTGTACAGTGTTGCCATTAATACTTACATAACTGTATTTAACCAATTAGTACAGTATCATTTCTGAGAAAAAAATGAAAGTTTTATTTATCAAACTGATGAAGAAAGGTTATGAAAAGTAACAATTATAACCAAAAAAAATATGATTTCTAAGAAGAAGTCTGCACCGCCACGTCATCAGTGACAATGGCCGATAATGGAAACATAAAAGGAGAGTAAGCTGTTGTCAAAGTAAGACGTTACTTATGATAAAGATGTGACGACGATGATTTCAGGTGAGCAGTCCCACTTTTGAAAACACAGCTCTTTCAATTGTGAACCCCCATCCATGAGAGCGTGTCTGTGTTCCTGTCTTCATCAAAACTCTGAGCTTATACGTTCTTTAAAAAAAAAAAAAGAAAAGAAAAGAAAACAACACTAGTGTAACCCAGAACAAGAAAGCCATGGTACAGAAGGAAGGGCACCTTATATTTGTTGGACAACTGCAAGTAGTTAAATATTCATGCAACTTTAGAAACATCTCCGTTTAGATCTCTAGGCTAACAATACATTTTTATTCTTTATGAATATCAATATGATTCTCCACATTCTGGTTAAAGTCTTTCTCCATGTAAAGTAACAGTTAATAGATTTTGTCATGAAATCTGTTGATAAACCATATGTTCAGTCTGTACAATAGAGGTACTAAAAATTACAACTGTCATGGTATATGTACAATTTACTACCTACAAAGTACAACAGATAGCATGTAATAAAATATGTAAACAAATTTCTTATTTTTTTTTGACACAGTTGACTGTGACAGCAGATAGAATTCACACTTTCAACATTTGATTTATTTCTGTATACACATTTGTTAACAGTGTTGTAGTACTGCATTTGTCTTCTTCCTGACACCTCCATAGAAAAAAGAGAATGATAGGCAATGAACCAACATACAGTTTTGCAAAAAGATAAAACCACCACTGTCTGTGCATCAATAATAGACCTTTTCTTTAGGAGATAGTTATTTTCTTTTTTTTTTTTCCATATTTAACACTTTTGAGGGGTTGAAAAAGAGGGGAAGTCCTGATTCGATGACAAAGAACTGTTTCTGCATTAAAGAGAACATGGTCCAAGTTGAACACTGTATACTGGACTTTTACTATACTGGACTTTACTGTAGAATTAGGATGGCATGCATTTTACAATCAGTCGCTTCTTACCAAGAGAACCAGCAAATTCTTTCCACAACACGAGACCTGTGTCTGTCAGACAATGAGGATAATTGTGGTGAATAAGATGCCAGAGCAAACCGATGTTATGAGATCTGCCCTTGGCAATTTGCTCACTTGGTTTCATTTTATACACAGAAATAGTTTTCTTTTCTTGCTGTTCTTTTTGTCATTTTTTTTTCTTTTGCTTAAAGCAAAAATACACCACACTTATATTATTTATAAACCATAAAAATTTGTAATATTTTGATACAAGAGTCCTTTTTACTTTTACAATGATTGTGTGCCTGACCCCTCTTGTTAAGCACTACATGTTGCTTACATGCTGAAAATGTATAAGATTATGAGCCTTTTGTAATTAACAATTTCACAAAAAAATTGTTTAATGCCAAGGATCACAGAGTTCTAAAAGTCACTTAGGAGAATGATGCTGTGAAATATTTCTATACTGATAATGTCTCTGACCAGATAGAAGAGTAAGGTCTCTAAAGTTGCTATTTAACCTTGTCATTAAGCATATGCTTAATAGTAAGTGTGCTTTATGTTACAGTACATATCATCAGTTCAACTACTCAGCACAGTATAGGATTATTCAAGTTCCATGTTATACCATCATTTGTCATAGCTCCTCACAAGGAAACTGGTAGGTAAATGGTCTCTTAGTGCTTTCTTTCTTTACTCTCACGTGTTCACGAAAGTCTCACAGTCACACATAATACTCCTTATCCTTATTTTTCTGTCTCTTGTTGCTGCCTTTCAAGCTCTGCTGTTTGTCCTTCATGACAGCGCCATTGCTCTGCACAGCTGAGTTGGTTATGTAGTTCCTGCTCTCGTCCACCTGGTAGGAGCCTTCATCCCTGTTCCTGTACTTATACATGGCATACAGAAGGATGAGGATGCACAGGGCAGCGGCCGCCACTATTCCGATGACCATCCCGGTGGTGCTGCTAGATTCACGGACCACTTCCGAGGGCCCTGGAACTCGCCTGACGCCTGGCTCTGTGGGGAGTGCTGTGGGTATATTACGGAACATTGGGGAGGTTATTAATGGGCCCCTCAGCTTGGTGCTGTCTACCTCAAAGGATGTGGGCAATGGAAGCAACACTAGGTCGGGCTGGGGTTTTAGCTCGCGGTTATTCATTTTGCCAGCCGGCTGTTTGGCCGGAGCATTGTGGAGGGTTGCGGTGGAGGCAGAGGTGGTGGTGGTGCGGCTCTGGTCGGCGGTTAGTGGTATGGCGGTAGTGGTAGTCCTACTGCGTCTGGAGATGGAAGGTTTGTTAGGTATAAAAGTCTTGGGTGCGTTTGCTTTGTAGTCACCTTGAAAGCCTGACGTGGACAAGGTCTTATCTGTTACCAAGGAGAAGGTCGAGTAAAAATCTTCATCATCAGTAGGGGGCAGGTTAGACTTGAACGCTTTCCCAGAGCCATACCCCGATATCACCAAGCCATCATCATCACAATCATCGCTGCCTCGGTCCGACAAGCAAGGTACCCCCGCCTCAGTGGCCTTGGACAGGGACTCTTTGGTGGTCTCAATAATGGTGAGGAGTGGGTGGTGGGTTGAGGGAGTGGGAATGAAGGGTGCACGAGGAGCTACAGAGGGGTGCGCTAATGGATCCTCAAGTACTCTGATGACTAACTCAGCTCCTGGGTTGGAGACAGACAGGTAGTCACATTAGACGACAACATAAGTGTTTTATGAAGCATACAAAATCTAACACACCTAGACAGAAAAACACAACAGGCAGCGACTAAACCCAAATCTGTGAACATTGACATGGTACGTCAACCATTGCCCAATTTTGCCATTTTGAAATCTGCCATATTTGTGTTTAAATCCTTGTATTAGTTCTAAAAGGCTTAAGAGGTGTGCAAGGATGAGCCGGAAAGATCAAGCAATTCTGAATTTAATTGCGCTCGCTCTAGTTAAATGCACTTCATTCTTTGTCGGTCATATTTAATGAACTTCGTGACAATCTGTGAATGCAAACTTATATATTTAATGAAATAAATACAAATGAGTGAAACTGTATTTTGCAGGGTAGGAACAGTCATAAGATAATGTTTTGGCAGAACAATATTTTTTCCTTGAAAAGTGTAAGTTAGTATTTAGAAAAACTATCAATAGCTGCACATGCAGTAACAATAAAAACTAGAGTGGCTCTCTGATCGTCTTAAACCTCTTGCTTTTTTATGGCAATACAAAAAACTGCAGTCATAGTTCTACAGACATTTCTCTGGTGCAGAGCTGAACTGTGTAGATTGATCTGTTGAGAAAAAAAAAAAAAAAAAAAAACTTTCATTCCTGAGTTGGATGCAAATCACAGATTTCTTTACATCCAGAGAAAAAAGTTTTGAATCTAATCCTAAAGTGGACACACATACCAGGTAACGTATCAAAACAGAAAAAAAAAACAACTGTATGTTGTAATCTTACATTTATATATGTGTGCGTATTAGTTTAGCTATTTGTTTGTCCATGTGAACATTTCTAGTTTTTAATTTATACATGCTGTATCCAGAAGAGTGAATCAAATTAGTCCTGATTTTATGAATGAGGCCAAGTGCTAGGTCATGTATTACAACCAAGGCATCGCACATGGATAAAGATGGACTAGATAGGCTTTCTCACATGATTGGTAACACTGGTCATCAAACTATAATGATTGCATTGGGTCTTGCCTGTCTTATCTGTTGTTTTCTGCATTGTTCTCCTTCTTGACAGGGTTGTTAAATGACCCATTCAGTTCTCAATCAATACAATGATTCCATCACAAAAGCAGCTCTGATACCAGGAAAAAGTTGTTTAACTATAACTGTTTTGTTGAATTCATACCAGGTCAATGGCAGAGCAAAGCCACCTGAATGCTCACCCTCAGTAAAATTCTGGGATGGATAAAAGTTGTCATAACACATCTTTCATCCAGTGTGTGTTGGGCAGCTTCATGTTGTAGTTTGACTCTTGTGCACCAGAAGAACAGAAGACCAGGTCTCCTACCAGATCAGTTTAAATACGGACGTGCCTTCAATTTATTAGTTTTCTTCTTAAACACAGTTAAACCAAAAAGATAAAGTCAGAACAACTTCTTCCAAATGTAAATGATGTCTAAAATCAGTCAGAATGGGAAGTTACTAGTTTACCGTATCGCCTTCCCTTCAGGAGCTAACAGTAAGGTTTACTAGAGGTGTGTTTAATACACTTCATCTTGGGAATTCCATTTAACATTCTTGATAAATATGACTACAAAGCAAAATGCTCCTCAAGTTTTCAGCTGTGTAGTTCTTAGGAAAGGTATTTGTCACTGAAAATGCTATTAGTAAAACTCCTGTAAGCAATACAACAGTTTCTATCTTCGGTGGAAGGCCTGACATACATGTCTAACAAGTACAGTAGTTCTTCCACACTGTCGACTGAATACTTGTGTCTCATTGTCTTTTTTGAACAAGACATAACGTGGTGGTCTGTGTAGCACTTTGCAGTTTTTTGTTATACTACATGTTAGACATCAATAGAATGTATGGAGTATATATTGTCTATGAAATAGTGATAACAATGTTGTTTTTATTTTCATCCATTTATTCACCTACAGGCTGTATTTAAAAAAAAAAAAAAAAGTTCTATCTGAACAAAATGACTGTAACCACAATAACAACAGGACAACTGCACGCTCAGGTGTGCTGTATTAGCTGCACTGCCTGGTCTGTGGTTGGCCAATAGTGCACTCTAAAAGATGCAATATGTATACATATATATATTTTTTACATTTTTGTCTTTCAAAAATCCCACCAAAAAAAAAAAAACACCTTGACCTCGCCTTGACTCTGAACTGAACAAAGACCTGCAGTGTTACACAGACCTGTGACTGCTTTAGTTAATTTAGTTTTAAGTCTTAAAAGGGTTTCATTGTTAATCAGCTAATGCACATTAAAGTAAATGTCTTTCTGGTGACAAGAGCAGACACATGTTGAAAGCCAAATTTGAAGAAGAAAACTATGTTCCACTTATTAAGGGTTTGTAATCTTGAGCAGGTATCACTGGAGTGAATATTCAGAGTGACACAGAAAGTATCCACTGCCATCAAGCATGTGCATATGGAGCCTTTGATGCACATCCGATATAAAGCAAACAATTGTGTTACTCACAAATTATCACAAACACCAACACATACATTCACAAGCACACAACTCAAGATTGAACAAAGGCCTTTTATTCCAGAATTTCAAATGATAAAATGCTATTAAAGACTCATTCAGTTGTCACATGTCACAGCTCGGTCAGAGATGCAGTTTGCAAACTTTCAAAAAAAAAAAGTGCTGCTTGTGTTGTTTTGTATTGACAGAGTACATGTAGCATTTTGCAGCAAATGTTCTCAACAACCAGTCAGGTTTGATGGAACAAATCCTAGAATTGATCTTTTGGGACACTACAATGAATGACTTGTTTGTTTAAAGGTTGAGAAACTCTAGCATGTAAAAAAAACCTAAAGAGTTCAGATTATAAGTGAAAAGGAATGATCTCCCTCCACCTCTTCACATATTGCAGGTTACAGCTGATAAGAACTGGTCCCCCAACACAACATCTACTTATATTCATATCCTATATCTTTAAAAAAATAAAGTAAAATCAATGATGAGAAATTACAGAATATGCTACATGTAACAGCAGCCGAGTTGCATTTGCTGTGACATACAGAAGAATAGTCATTTTGAAATGTTCCAATTCTCGCATTTTGCAAACTGCATCCACAAAACACAATTCAAAGAGAGTGAAAACATACATACTGGATATTTTCAACTTACATCAACAAATTGCCCGCATGATTTAGGCATGAAGAAAAGAATTTACAAAGGAAAAGTTGTGTAAGAATGTTGGATAGCCACTTGGTACCGTTAAAGATCATTTTATCCATTGAAGATTGTGTTCTATCTTAAAACATGACGGTACAGGGAGGCAACAACACATACATCCACACCACATAACATAAAAAATAAACACCATAATTCTGTTTTTAATGTTTTGTTTTTTCCTGGTAAATAATTTGTTTATACAAAAAAATGTGTATCTGCATTTTTTCATTGCAAGAGACTTCAATGGTACCTAAAATCTATTCATGTTACAATTTTTGCTTAATTTGTCATTTGTTCTTTAGTGTAGAATGGATGGATGACTTCATATTTTAATATCTCTAAAGACAAGGGAGAAGGTGAAGAAGGGTTGGGACCTATGAACATACTACATAGGAAATGAGGATGATGAGGGTGACAGTGTAAGTCAGTTGCCATGTCCATGTAAAGGCAGTACGAAGCGGTCGGGCGGCATTAGAGCTTTTGGCTGTAAGGAAGGGATGGGGATATACAAACAATGAGCAATATACATGCCCATCTACAGAAAAGAACAGAAGAACTCTAACACTGACATGTCTTACAAACCCTAAACTGCAACTTCTTAGCCATGCAATTCATTTGTTTTTTTCTTACAGTCAAAATATTATTCAGCAAAGATTAATTTGTTTTGTCAAAATAGATTTTTTTTAAAGATCTGAAAAATGGAAGATATATGAAAAGTAGATCTGGAACTGCTTCACCTGCTAATTTGTGGGCTTTTACATGTGTTTTTAAAAAATATATCCTGAAGTTGAGTTAGTCGTGTTGCTTTGAGTGGTGCTTTGTTAGTTTCATATTTGCCAGGTCAGCATATTGTTGGAAATAAAACACACAAGCTAGTCACTGAAGGAGTTCCAAATCCCAAAAAGTCAAATTATATCAAAAATATTTCACACTGTGATTTAGATATTTTCTGATTTACAAAAAAAGGAAAAAAAGCATACTTATAATAAGCCCAAAAAACATAATCAGAACCAAAATGTCAGTGATCAGTTATATAACTACAAAAATATGACCAGTTAAAACTACCAAATGAAAAATGTTAAGATGAAAGAACAAAGCCATTTAAAATTTTGCACACACTACAACCAGATGCACACAATAGAAAACAGACACCGTTGAGAGAGGCACTCGACTGGAAGACGGGCTCCTCTCTCATGTGCTTCCTGATGACAAATCTATCTGTAATGTTAGTCTTTAAACATGAACCGGCCGTGCAGTCTGGGTGTACATCAGAGAGAGACGGTACTGGCTGAGAATGGGTTATTATTATTATTTGGTTTTGTTTTAGTTGTACTGCAGGATGTTGATGCATGCTTAAAGTAAGTTGCATTTAGGGAAAGTAGAAAAGAAACAACACAGCAAACTGGGCGCAGGTAGGACTGACCGATGTTAGAAAAATAGGAGACGGACACTGTGTCCCAATCCCATACACAGACAATAGTTCATCAACTTAATGTGGCACTTTGTGTTAGCGAGAAACAGCATGTGATGCTCATGATGCAACATGTGCAGTGTGACACACAGCAGTCGGTCGGCAGCTTTGTAAAGCCACAGGAAATTCTCCACTGTTCCTGCTGTGCGTTGCACTGTGGCACAGTCGTATCCCTTAGCAGCAGACAACAAATGTCAAGAGTCAGTATGCAAACTGACACGTTTAAGTCGATTTAATTTTGTCACTGTTCCAGTGTAAACACCCCAACGTCACCCCCCTCCCATAACAAGTGGGTTCAGATTAGTATGCAGTATGCAATTGGGACACA